CGCGATGTGTATAAAGGGTTAAATCGGCTGCGGGTTTGCACGAAGTGCAAATCCGTTGTCCAATTTAACCCGAGCCGGCACTCTTGGCCCGCCAAAGGCTCTGCCAGGGAAAGGGGAAGGGTAATTGTGGGCAATTTCGCTCATTTTTCTGCCGTTTCTTGCCTCGCTCATTTTTCTACCGGGCTCCGCTCATTTTTAATCCGCACCCGCTCCCTTTGCCGTCCAAGCTGAAGACGAGAGACAAGCTTTGGGGCTAAACCAGAAATCGAGTGTGGCGCCGGTGTCCCATGAGGTAGAGAGTAGTGCGCCGCGAAGAGCCTGGGGTCTGGATGTGCCGCATCGCTTGGTGAAGCGTCATCGAGCCCTTGTCGCCGAGGGTCGCCATAGTGTTACACGGCCGTCCTTGACACTGTCTGGCGGTAACGTCAGTGCCCGTACGTCACGAGGGCCGAGGCGCAAGGGCTTGTGCCGTGGCGCGAGGTCTTTGGTCGTCGAGCGCGGGGTCGGCGTGGCGGTGCCCCCCGCGGCCTTTGCAGCTTGACCTCTTGCCGTGCGTGGCGCGTCTTCCTTGATCCCAGCAGGCTCAAGTGGGCCTCGAGCGAGTGTCTTGAGCAGGTGCCTTGCGTTTCGCTCTTGATGCGCCGATGCCTTCCCCGCCGGACCACGGTGGTCGCTTGGCCGGCCAGCTTGGTCGCGGTTCGCCACACCCGGGCTGCTACAGCCTTGCTCGTCCTTCACGACACTTGGGCCCCCGAGACGAAGCGGTGGCCGATGCCGTCCGAGGCGAGGACCTCGAAGAGCCGCAGAAGCGGAGTACAAAGTACGACCCCCAAAGTAGAGGAAGGTTCTGTGGCGCTTGGAGGATGATGGCAGCGGCGACGCGCCGTGGCTTGAGTGCAGTCGGGGCGGGTGGGTGGTTGTGAAATGGCGGACGGCACACGGTGGGAGGTATACTGTGCAGACGAGCGATGCGTCGTGACGGGCTACGACTTCGGACGTTGTGACCTTATGAATTGGACGGGTTAGCGAGAGCCAAACATAAAAGAGATAGAGAAATAACCCCATACGAGGCCTCCAACTTTCCAATGGGAGACGGCCAACGAAATTCTTCGTGACCTTTGGATGCGGGCGAGCCTCGTTGTGTATGGGCACAACTCATGGGTGTAGACTACGTCCCATGGCAGCGGAAGAAACCGCGGGCACGACGCTGGTTGGTTCAGGCGTCGACGGCGGGAACCGAACCCGGACACGGGCCACAACGCTCCGACGGTCGAATCTGGGTCGCTCGTGTGGGTTTCAACACCTGAGCATCGAACGCGGCTAACCGGAGGGCGCGCACGTTGCTGAGAAATCCGGCGACTTGCGGCATGTCAGTAGCAGTGACGGCCGAAGTCGCTCGGAGGAGAGGCAGCCCGATGAACCTCGGCCAACTCGAGGGCCGCTAGAGAGCACTACTGTACCGATCGAGCGATCACCCGAAGACCGCCACGACGCGCCAGTCGAGACCCTCACCAACGCGCAGGCTGTCGAACGGCAGCCGTCGACGAAGGACGGTCAGCTGCGTCCTGTGGCCGCCGCACGACAGCCTTGACCGATGCACGACCGAGATACTAGAGCGGACACGAACCGGACCAGCCGATCGAAGAGCCACGGTGCCATACGACCTTGACTTCTTCCAGCTGCGCGCGAACTACGGCGCACTTGGTCCTTGGTGATGTCCGTGACCATGCGGTAACCGCAGCAGTGCTTCGGTAGGCGGCAGGCGGTTCATTCTTCGTTCATGCCTTCATCAACTTGACCGACACCCGACGAGCTGCCGAGTGCTGGAGCAACGACAAAGTCATCGTAGCTCAAAATCTCGCGACGCGGACAGCGACGCAACGCGGCCATGTTGCCGAGGAAGGTCACCGTTTTGCGTACGGTTGGCGACGGCGGCACCCTTGACGGTGACCAATGCGGCAAGTGCGTACGAACTTGCGCTGCGAGGCAATCTTCGCGACGGCGTGATCGAGGAGGCGCGTTCTCACCGCCGTTGCGTGGCTTGCAACCTTGGTGACGTTGAGGCCTTGGCGGGGTTGACACGAAGCCTTGGGCGCGGCGCTCCGAAATGCCACGACAACGACGTGCTGGCGCACACCCCACACAAGGCCGCAAAGGTCGGTATCGCGTGCAAGGTCTCGAGGCGGATGGCCGGCGCAGACGCCATGTCGTAGTCGAAACCGAAATTGGCTCGGCGCCCTTGAACTCGAGGTGGCTCTTGAAGCGCGGCTTGCCGTCGCGGTCGCCCTTGGGCTTGCCCATCCAGCGGCAGATGAGCACCTTGTGATCAGCGGGAGTGCCACCTACACTGTACAGTTAGTCTTGCACGACTCGTACGCTTCAGTCATCGGTTGACTCCACTCGGCAGCGTCGGTCAGCTTGTAGGTCTCTTTGCACGACGGCGGAACGTCAGTCTTCTTCTCTCTCTTGGCCAAAGAGCGCCAGTCAGGTCGACACATGACGCGCTTTCAGCCGGGCATCGCGGAAGCTTGGTCGACCACACCGGAATCGCCGGCATGGATCGCTTGCGGCGGATGCGACGGCGCATTTGCAGTCGTTCATCGCACCTGATACAGGAGCGCCATTGCCTCCCAGTGTCTGACGCAACGAGTCGGCGCTGGCGTTGAACAGCGAAGCGCCAGCGTCAGCCACCGCGTCGGCACAGCGCGAATCAGGCTGCGCAGCGACGGGCGACCGGGATCGGCCCACGGAATATGCGTATCGGGTGTCACCAACCAGTAGCGCCCTAGACGAGATCAACAACAATACATCACGTACACTGGGATCGGCAGCACGCGTCCCCAGCGCTTGATGTTGGCGCCTTCGACGGTCTCGTCCAGACTTGAAACGGCGCCCGACTGGAGCGCAGGGTGTATACAGCGCGGTCGGAGGTGCAGGCGCCGCGGCACGGCGTGCGGCACATGTCGTACGCTCCTTGGCGAACGGTTCGACGATCGTCTCGACCGGGCATCATAGGTGGCGGCAGTCCGGTCCGCCGACAGCTCCGTGGCAACGCACACACAGCCAACCTGACGTATGATGCTGTAGGAGTTAGTATGCGGGCAGCAGGGCCGAGGCATACCGGCCGCGCCCCAAGAGGACCTTAGCCCAGGACGTCCAAAGCAGAAAGCGCTTGGCGCCGGCTTCGTCCGCACCACTCCCGAAAACCAATTTTTATTCTCTAAAAATTAATCATTTTGGGGACACAATTGTACTTTTGTGTGATAGGGTTGAAAGGTTGAAAGTGGGTAAAACCCATGTTCGGGACTTTGTTTGGAGAAAGTGTACCATATCCCTTTACCACGCTACTACAGTTTCGTCCACAGTCCAGAACTCAGCCAAGGAGGACCCCGCACTCGAAGACTACGTCTGTCTAGTCGCTGCATCGCAGGCGTGCAAATGCAGAAGGCCGGTGCGACCTCGCAAACAGGGCGTGTGAAGTCTCCTTCGCCACCGAAAACACCAGTCATTCATCGCTCTTAGTCTGGACACGTGGCCGCCGACCAGTGCTGAGCGTCAAGTAGGATGGACCACAGGACGCAATATGAAAAA